GGTATTGAATGCTGTAAAACGAAGTGTGGGAAGGCATGCTGCGGTACACTGCGGCGAAGTAAACGCATAAATTTGAAGCAACTTCAGTGAAGGTCATTTTAGCGAATATTTCAAATAAGTATTAGTTGTACCAGTACATTTTACAACAAACTAAATTCCTTGAACTTAAAAAAAAAAAATATATATATATATATATTTAGACACACCTAAAAAAGACAAATTACTTGTAACCTTATCAATCAACGAGGTTGTCATTGACGACTGACGACCTCTCTAGTTGTCGAGCATATAAGGCGATGGAGCAATCAACCGGGTAGAAATACAAGTTTGTTGTATCTTCAGAGGTATGTAGTTATTGCTGCTTTTGCGCAAGTATGCAGTTATTTTTGTTTCTTCCAAATTATCTGTGGACGCATGGATCGCGGCACCTGGAAGTCGCAACATATTTCTAGAGGAAATGACTAGGATGAACAGCGATTACATTTTAACACGGCGTTCAGCTTAAAAATGTTATATACAATTTCAAGCGTGTAAAAGTATGTATTGTGCATCGCCCAATCGTTTGTCGTGCTTCTCCAAAATGAACGCCATCTAACGCCAATCGGTGCGATCATAAGAAAAATACCTGTCTTGATGTCACTTTACCGTCTACTTTTTATTTGTTTTGATACAGCACGCGTTACGGCACTTAATAGAGCGAATCAAATGCTCACCTTGGAAAAGACAAGCAGTGAAGACGCTATTTGCTGGCACAGATTTCATAGCAAGTGTGTTTCTGTAGGTTTTGGGTCGCCGAGACGTGGTCACGGTGGATATATGGTTTTATTAGGTTTACAGTTTTACAGAAGTAAAAAAAACAACTGTCTTCTCTACGAAACGAGAATGACAAAGGGAATTGTATATTCATCCGTTTTGGAAAATAGGGAGCAAGATGGAAGTGAGGATATGAATTAAATTGGGTTCAAATGTTTTGTAATATGCGAAATCCTGAAACATGTTGGGGGTTAGTAAGTGCGTGAACTAACGCGAAAAGGCGATTAGCTTGTTAAAGTATACTGATAAATGTGATGAAGGTATGTGATGTACCACAAAAAGTTCAGAGTGTTTTTTTTTTTTTTAATATAGATTTGGGACTTTAAGCATGATGGTAAGCACATATATATGTCGACGAATTTTATAAGAAGACAACTAAACTTCCAATTCTATTCACCGTCTTGAAGGAGATGACTATGAAGTATAAAATACTTTATATGGTATAGAGTAAAATGTACAAAGCGGGGAGTGGAATCTACGCAAATAATATAGTGTCAAAGCAATGAAATATGCCGAATTTGGAACTTAGCTTATATAAGGTCGAAGCGGCTTCCAAAGTGAAGAGCTCGCGCGCATAGCGTATCTTGCGTTTGGTATCGGTGGCGTTGGTGCTTCGGTTTCTTGAACCTTTTGATCACAAAAAGAAAGGTCACATAACCTTCAGGACACACTGGATGCAGAGGTATAGAATGGCGTAGTGGGCTCACCACGCCCGCTTCCGGAGGCGGTTCATGCGTAAATTGAGATATGGCGCTCCGGTCTACTCCTCCTGAAGCTTTCCCATGCGCTTCTGCGATTGTGTGCGTATCCGCGAGTTGGCTGTGTCGCTTGGCTAGAGAGGCGGGATTTTTCGGTGAGTCCGAAAAGGCACAAGAGTGTTTTAATAAATCAAATGTTAAATGCGCTTTTCCACGCGATTACAAAAGAGAAACAAATGTACACAAACATATGCCCTCTGCTCCGGCACGTTGCCCTGATAAACAAAATGTTTTGAGTTCTTGTTTTATTTTGTGGTGCCTAATGAGGGTCCCAACCTCTGCACATTGTCGAACCCGCTAGAGTGTTCACTAAATAAGGTCAATTCTTTCTCGCAAAAATAATCTGTATCTTTGCAGATACTATTTAGTTACATTTAAAAAAAACTATTTAGGTTTTCGTTACAGTTACTGCAGAACAATTATCGAGTTAGAGTTAAAAATTACCAAACAAAAGTAATGAATTACAGTATCGCGACACTACCCAAAACTGGTTTTGCAAAAAAAAAAAAAAAAAAGAAGTAAACTCGCGTCCGTTTTTCTGCTCGACCTGCTTTGTTATGCACAGGCGGCGCCGGCTTGGAGTCATCGTACCTTGTCGAGACAGCTTAGCAAAGCAGGACGCTGCTTTGCTACGCTCAAAAATACAAAATTAGATGTACGAATGAGCTTGGTGTAAACAAGTAAATACAACGAATCCATACTCGATGCAGACAAACAAATAGAACGAATGTATGCTCGAAATAAGAAAATGAGATAGAACAAATATAAACGCACCAAAGAACTCAATGTCGAAAAAGAAGAAAAAAAAAAAAAATCTACAGCCAGTGAAAAAAAAAATAATTGAGGAAGATATATATGAAGCAGACACTCAGGTACAGTCCTTTGCAATGTGAAAGACCCACTGGCAGCACGTGGCCGAGGCGGTGGCTGTCGGGGGCGCTGCGAGCGCTACGGGCAATTTCATTCTGCTTCGACGGGAGGACGCTTACTCAAGGCTCAGCACAAACTGATAAGTTACGCTTTAGCTGAGCCCCGAGTGAGCGTCCTCCCTTCGAAGCAGAATGGAATTGCCCGGAGCGCTCGCAGTGCCCCCTCCAGCCGCCGCCTTGGCCACGCGTTCCCATTGGGTGTTTAATATTGCAGGGAACTGTACAAAGCAGGCCAAAAACAACAGTCAAGAGCAAGGATTAAAAAAAAAAAAACATAATATTCGCAATAAATTTCTTTTACAATATTAAGGAACAAAGAAGTGGCACCATTTCTTTATGTCACGGCCATGTGAAATCACGTGGCCGTGAAGTAAAGCTTGCCTTTCCACCAGAAACGGAAGTTCTCCCAGCCGAGCAAGGGAGCCCGCTTAGGACACGAGCACGGCGCCACTCGGACGCATGCGCTCGTCAACAATCGAACCGTCGACGAATATTTCAATAGACTTCCATAAATACCTGCGAGCAACACTGTGCGCGTTGCACACTGGGAACTAGTTGGCCAGGGAGGAGAGAGGCATGGTTTAGGTTTCGATCGATACGTGAAGAAGAGATCCTACACAGAGCGTGGATAATAAACAACCGTTATTTCATATTTTCTGGTCCAGAGAGCATCGTCTTGGGCCTCTAAACTAACCTAAATGGCCAGACTTCGAAGCTTCACCACAAGGCCGAACCATACGTAAATCTTGTCTTGACAATCTTGGCGTTTCGAGGTATGCGAACGAGCCGGTGCTGAGAATCTCGACGCTGCAAAGCTCAGGGACCTTGCTTGTGTACGAGTCAACACGCTGTAACAACCAATAAGTTCGCGTAAACCGAGCTCGCAACTTTACATTAGTGTTGCTGGTCAGCAAGTTTGTAACTTGTTTTATGCGTCCATTGACGAAACTACCTTTTTTTCAATTACTGTTTTTTCTTATACGCCCGAGTGCGCGAGGTAAAACTTGGAGATGCCGTTGAAAAGCAAAAATGGAACACTCCTTATCCCTTTATAGCTTTACTTACCCGAAGTACTGCACAAGCTGGATGTCCCTACATGCTTGGATTTTACTAACTCAATATCGCATGAAGTTATCATTCACACGTACAAGCCGTTTTTAAGAAAGCAACAGTCCAGCACTTGCGTGAAAAAATGTCGCACAGTTCGGCGGACAGCACGTATACGCCGTGAACCCCTATGCGGTGCGCCAAATGAATTAAAGAATTTAAAGCGTATTTGGCGGTTGCTAATGGCCATAAGATTTGTCATATGTTTGCTTTCTTCCTGACTAAGCCGAGATAATTTCAGAACCACCGTTCAGACACAGATCGTGGGCGTCGGTAAAGGCTCATCCAAAAAGGCTTCGCGAGGAGTAGGGGACGCTTGTTAGGGACACTGTCGTTGCTAGCCGATCTCGGCGTTTGCGAAAACTTACCTCGAATCGGGATAAAATTTGAGTGAGAGATACATGGTGACACGAGGAGGACTTCATAGTAACTTTTGCGCAGTATAGCAAGTGCGAATTTATTGCGTTTTTTTTTTTTTTTAAACTTCACGCGCCAACATTGGGCTCAACTGTGAGACACGAGATACGGTGTGAGAATGCGGCTTGTTTTTTGCTCAATGAAGTAATTGAAGCGAACGTTTGGCAAACAAAATACGTGCAAGGCTCAAAGTGACCAAATTTCAATTGTGGTTCACCGGTACCCCACAGGGTTATTGAAAGTGGGCTCAAAGATACAATCATGGTGCACACGCAGGCACAATATCCGGCATGTCTGGAACCAAGAAAAATGCTCCGGTCTCCTCTGGGCCGAATTATCGAGATGCCGCGTGACCTTTTCGAGACAGTCTCACTCTCACTCGATGTTACGCCGCCAAATAGCCGCCCGCTTTTTGGCTGTCTCGACGCTCGTTCTTTATTTTGTTTGGCACATGTTCGCCCCATGAAACTTTCAGTTTGAAACTGGATTTTCGCCGCTCCTGCTCCTGTCATTCGTGACAATATTTGAGCCGTACAAGCTGCTTTCTCCGCAAGAGCTTTCGCGCAGTCTCATGCTTTTAGGGCTTGAACGTCGGACCCTTTGATTGACGTTGATGACAGAAAAACAGAGATTTTAGCCAGCTGGACGTTAGTCCTAGCCGGGTACTTTCATTGTACCCACTGCACTCCTTATACTTTCCGATGTGGGAAAACTGAATATAGTCTTACTTTTCACTGCACCCCACAAGTTGAGTTTCACGGCTTATATACTGTAAAACCCTTTATTTTCGCGGCCCCCATTTTTCGCGAATCGGTCACAGACGGCATAATCGCGACCACCAAATTTCGCGAATTCCAGACGCCTGCATTGAAAATCTTAAGGACAGAAATTTTCGCGCGCCCTTGAATTTCGCGAATTCTTCAATTCGTGAAATTCGCGAAAATTGAGGGCTCGCGAATATTAACGGTTTTACAGTATGTTAAACAATAACCTGCTTGAAATGCGCATTCAAACCTGTACGTGCCATTTTCAGGTGCTGTCTCAAGGTTCCCCAGTCCAAGCCCAACACCGCACCAAAAACGACTGCGACAGGAATTCCTTAAGTGTCGCCGTCCTAATTCTTGTCGTTGTCATGGTCGTAGCGTCTGCCATCTTCAGTTTAACGAAACCACAGCGCGGAGGACAACATAACAGAATAAATCTATGCAAGGATGACATATGCCTTCATCCAATCTGGTTGACATCGAATCTCAACCAAAGCGTGGATCCATGTGACGATTTCAGCGGCTACGTCTGTTCAGCCTGGAAACCGACTCTTCAGGATATAGCCCGGACTATCGGTCATTTCCCAAAGTATAAATGGATGAAAAATAAGGCCAAATATCTATCGGGCAAATCCTTTTCCACTGAATGGATGAAGTATGTCGCACAAGTCTATAAGTCCTGCATCGACCGAACGGGCGAAAACCAAAGCGAGACCTTAGCCGAGTTTACGTCGTTTCTCAACAAGCGAGTTCTTCGGAGGCCGGACGACCTCAACGAAGTGAGTCCATTGGATGTGGCGCTAGATCTTTCCATTCGTTGGCAGATTCCCTTCTGGTTCGATGTGCAACTCTTAACAGAGACGTCGTCCAAACGGCGAAGAATTTATTTCTCGCCCAGCAGAGACACCTTTTGGAAATCAACGTACAGTGAATTTACCGACGAATGGAAGTACCGAAAGCTTTTGGAAGATTTCCGCCGTATCTTTCTCTACCACAACGTAGCGAACGCAAACTACTCCGAGGCAAATTTCAGAGTGGCCGCTGATATAATAGGGTCTATTTACAACACGTCGTTCCGCAAGCAAAAAAGGCCTGCAATCCTTTCGTTCCATGATTTGGAGGGCCTTCTCCCCGCCGGCAAGGGAAACAACTGGACGGGCCTCCTCAACAAGAACTTCAGACCGACTCCACCATTCAGCGGCCGCGACATAATCCTAGTGAGCGACACCGAAATTCTGGAAGTTTTAAAACGACTTTTGCGCACCCATGGTTGGGCACACGTCTTGAACCAACTCGCCTGGTGGTTCGTCCAGGCCTACGCCGTCGTAGCTTCGGACGACGCCTTCGTCGTAAAGTACGGAGGAAAAGCGAGTGCGAACGCTATGAAGCCACTGTTTTGCGAAATTGAGGTGGAAGAAGCCTACACTCTTCCTCTACTCGTCGATCACGTCTCATCAAACTATAATTCCAGCGATCGGACCGCCATCAATGTTCTCTTGGAAAGTGTGATCATGGCGGCTATCACAAAAATAGGCGAGTGTGACTGGATGGACAACAGAAGCAGGAAGGCTGCAGTCGATAAGCTAAGAGAAATTTTCATAAATCTCTGGCCTCGAGAGGACATCTATGCCGAATTTTTTCCTCCCTCTGCAGAGCGACAAAAGCAGAAATCCTACGTGAGGTACTGGATTCGTGATCACGAGCTGAGCGCATCGGAGATAGGAGCAGCAATTTATTACGAGAAGAATCGCATGGCGCACAATTTCAGAGACGAAACGTTCGAGTACGACTACCTTCTCAACAACGTGTCGCTGCCGATGCTGGCCCTTGAAGACCCGTTCTACGACCGTCGAGGTAGCGCAGCGTTTAATTACGGAGCTCTGGGCTCCGTTTTCGCCCGAAAAGTGGTGATGTCCTTCGACCCGCAGGGCATCAACCACCTTCCCAACGGTACTTTGCACTCGTGGCTGTCCAAGGACTCCAAGGCCACGTTCATGCAAAAAGCGACATGCGGCGTAGAAGATTTTCAGCCGAATATTTTTCCAGAAATTCCGGGACTGGAGGTGACCTTCCGAGCGTTTCAGGACGCGAGTCGAAGCTCTCAAAGGTCGTCCGAGGACCACCCGAGCGTAGAGGACAAGAAGATGTTCTTCCTCGCATTTTGCCACGTTATGTGCATTCTCGATGCGAAAGGAATTGGGGAGAGATGCAACGTGGTATTGAAACATTTTAGACCGTTCGCGGAAACCTTTGAGTGCCCGCTGGGTTCCTCGATGAACCCGACCCATAAATGCAGGTTTTTTTGAGGGTGACCAATTAGGAGCTCGGACCTCTCCCTCTCCTAAAATATATTGGAAAAAAATCAAAAATATTCTCTGAGTTTTTTTTTTTTTTTTTTGTTTTATGTAATTACATTCAAAATACATACTAAGTTGTGTCATTTAATTTTGATTGCACTTACGTTCCAGGTTAACACTATAAACCCACGTGAATAAAACATATGAAACATTCTTTGCAAAGAAGGTTGTGTGGTTTCCTTTTTTTTATACAATAGGAGTAGCACGGAGTGATGTAGCATCAATTAATCCTTCCTGCGGTTGCTACCAACATCAGCATTAGTACAGGCTATTGCCACTAGTACAGGCGACCGTCCACCATTTTCGGTGGTACTTACGTCGCGGTAATGGGGAGGAGCCCAGCGTTTCAATTACAACACGCCGTAATTTTGTTCTCAATTTAACTGCGTCCTCACTTGTCAAAGATTCGTAGAAGTTTATCGAACACATCAAGGCGCTTTCTCGGCACTAGCTCCGAAAATGAACCCCGTTGTAAGATATACATGTATATATTTCTTTAGTTGAGGGGGGTCAGCGCGGTGAACGCTGCATGCCACGCTATCGACCAGATAGTTCTCTTGGCGCGCGCCCGAGTATAGCTTTAAAGCGCTGAATATCCTGACTTATCCAAGCACCGCCATCGTTTTATCGTGCCAGGGGCGCTCCTGTTGGATGCCGGAGACGTGTTGTCGTGTTTGGCTAATGGCGCGTCCCATATCCAAACGCGCACGCTCCTGTTGGTCTGCTTTAGCTGCCGGTGAAGCACCGCCGTTTGCGAGAACGCTCCTATTAGTCTACTGTACATGACGGTGCCGCGCCGCCACGACAAACTAGATTGGCGTCGATGCTCCGCTATTTTTGGCTTAAGTGCGTCCCAGAACGCACCAATGTGGCTGGTACTTAATTGTTCATAAAATCCATCCGGCGCTTTAAGCAGCCTTAGATTAACTGTATAGGCTCTGCTTGCAGAGTCGGAGTATGGTGTTCTCTTTCTTTTCGCCGCCAACTTCGTATTAGCGGAGAAGCGGTCATGTGCACCGAGCTAGATCCGAAATTCGTGAGGGAAAGCGACCGTGCAGGCGCCGAGTTTTGGGCGGATTATGTTTCTCTCTTTGCGTGTGCGAAGTATACATCCTCCACTAAACCAAAACGAGCTGAAAGGTTCCATGACCATTCAACATTATGTGTAGCCACTGGGTAAAGTATAATCACGTTTTACAGCGCGAGCGATGTTTTAAAACATGTTCTTTAGAGTCTGGGAAGACGACACGAAGGACGATCACGTAGCTCGCGCATCCAAGACTCTTGCAGAAGTGACGCTTGCTTCTCGTAGTGCGACCTTGGATCCAACATGGCCGCCCTGGAAGCATTATAGACCCTTTCAGAAATTCAGTGCCATCTGGTGGTTCGTAAAGCAGTTTAGGTTTTGCCCTATCAATGGCGGAAATGAGCTTGTATCGGCACCGTCACTTTCGCAAGTCGACGGCACGCGAGGAATTGTTCAGTGTGAGTTCTTTCTCGGTCACTTTCAGGTCGATGGTGACCAAGAACGTGCATTCAGAACAAAGCTCCAACCCACTGAGATGCCTCGAGAAAATTCTATACACCAAAGTGCTTTAAAGCCGATTGTGTGCCACGACAGATTGACTGAATCTGAGCAATTAGAAATAAACGCTTACGTAGCTCTTGTGTTCCAGCCCTACTTCGCTTCGTACTGACCCCCGAACGTACAGTCCTCGCAATATCCGCTTAGGAGCATCTTCAACGTCTTCCTTTATCAGTCACTAGAAGGCCGCCATTCGTATGGCACAGATGCCGTTCCACAGATGATGATAGTGATCAAAGTGGCCAGACTGAATTTCGGAAAGGGTCTATTGCGGTATTCTACTCCGCACGGTGAAGTATAGACCTTTCCCGCATAACCTCAAGCCAGCCAGTAACTGACGTACCCTCGATCTGGTGCATTTTTGGATTACCCGCTGACACAGGGTGTGCAACCACCAAGGGTATGGACGAAAAGGCTTAAAAACGGACGTCGTGCATGAGTTAGTTCCGAGTGCTCCTTTTTACCGTGCTGCAATTTCCAAAAATCTACGGTTGTCTGGAAACCATTGCGTGGTCGATGGATAAATAATTTTAAAAAGCATAAGAACAATAGCAGCAAGTGTGCCTTGAGCACAAGAAGCTGCAGCGCGAGTGTGGCTGCAATGTTATCGTGCTTCGCATTTTCCCCAAGAATCCTTATTTATAAAGTCTGTCGATTGCGAGCTTGAATCGCGAGAGATTCGTATCAGACTCAACGTCACGTTTAAGCTCACGACCTCTTCGTCTACGACAAGAGGACCGATTTTAATTCGCTGTGCAGGTGGTCCAATTAGGTTATCACTGCAAGCCCCATGGTATGTGAAAGGTATGAAAAAGTCTACATGCCACCACTCAAGATGGAGCTATCAGATGTCGAGAGCTTACCTGCATAGACTACATTAAACTGCTCATATATTCTTCGCTGTGGAAACTCAATCAAAACACCCCACCGTCTTCGTCCTCGTTCTCTCGAGGAGGCAAGGTGATGGCTAGTGATGGCCTGTGAGTAGCCAGCTGGATTCAACCGGACAAGCTCCAACCAAGTTATTGCAGCTCACCATAGCCAAGTCTAGTCAAGTTCCCCCCATACCCACACCTAGAGCCACTAAATAAGCTGCGCTTAGAGTATCGGCACTCCGTTCCCTGACATTGTTGTGGGCGCCGCCATTTTGGCTCGTATGCAGAGCAGACGCAACTGCCGATCGTCATGATTCAAAAGTGCGACTTCCTGATCATTAGATTCGGTGTTAGAGAGCTCATGTAATATTGCTTTGCTCTGTCGCGAACGGTTTAAACATTTGTGGAGGGCGGAAAAACATTTCCTGTGATTTCAGATAAACCTCCAGATAACTGGCAACCATGATTTTAAGCCACAATATGGTCAAGTGTCGTTACTCTGAAGCGTAGCTTATTTAGTGGCACTACCCACACCGTTGCCTACCCAGATAGCTGTGCTGCCAGAACTAGCCGGTATTTCTTTTTCTAAGCCGCTAGACGGCGGCGTCGGCGCCGCAATTCTCAAGATGGCGGCGCCGTTAAAGAAAAGGTCTATATACAGTTACTCTGGCTACACGGCTCTGGCTATACCCAGAGAATGTGGTGTTACTGCAATCTAGTTGAGTTTGGACTTGCTAGGGTTAGCCGTATCGCGTTGGCATCAGTCTGTGCCGTGTGTGTTTTTCTTCCTTTTTTGTTTTGGACTCGTTCGATCTGGGATCACCATGTAACGCGCTACTACGAAGCACCGTCTTTTACGGTGGTTGTTATGGATATAAAAGTACAGTTTTTCTATGACATCCAGTCGTTCGCTATCTGAGGAGTGGTCGCTCTAAGGCGCGCCATGGAATCAGAATAGTAAAAGACGGTGAACGCCAAGTGAGCGCGTCGGAACGTTAGGCCTCGCCACCTTGGTTCAGCTCGAACTCGAACGCGGGACGCCGCCACGCAAGCTTGGACGAGATGGACCCTTCGGACGGGGACTCGGCGGCTGGTCACGTGAGTGAGAACGCCATAAAGGATCAACCGCCACAAGACTCGAGACCGCGAAGAAAAAAAACGTTGTCGCAGAAGGCCTTGCTTAACTACGAAGCGAACCGGGACGAGCAACGTCAAAAGCTCGACTGCGTCTGGGAGCGCATCGCAAACGATCTTCGGGAAGTTGAACAGGCTACAAACGCCGAAACGCAGCAAGCGGTGACGGGCCGTATCCGAAAAGAGTACGGTCGTTACCAAGCGCTGTCGGAACGCTACGTGGCCTACTTGTCGGGGATCAACGCGGAACAAAGCCAGCTAGAGCTAGCCCTTCAGAAGACAACGGATCGCGACAGAGCTCGCGCGGTTCAGAAAGCCTTGATGGACACCGGAAAGACGCCCGACCGCGCCACGAAGTATCGGGACTCGGAACACGCTAACTCGGAGCACTCGTCGAAGTCTGCCGGGCCACGACTTCACGGCTCGAGACGTTCTGGAGGATCGACGCGTTCGGAACACTCGATTGCGACCACGACAAGCACGGCTGCAACGAGGGCACGCGCCGAGGCTGCAGCGGCGCGCACTCGTGCTTCTTTCACCAGAAAGGAAGTGGCCATGAAACTCGAAAGAGCAAGGCTCGAAGAAAAGAAGAAGAGTGCGGCTGCGGCTAACGAGCGCAGAAAAGCAGAACTAGACGCTGAGTTACAGATCCTACAGCTGGAAAGGGAAGCGGCTGCTATGGAAGTTCAAGCAGAAATCCTGCAAGCGGCTGCAGAACAGCACGGCGGGGAGCATCGCTCTGACCGAACCATCTCAGATGTATCAGAAGTCCGTGCTCAGCGCACTGTAGACTATGTGCACAACCAGGCTGCCGTCCACGATGGCTCAAACGAACTGCCTGCTCAGCAGGTTGCTCCAGAATTGAGTGGTGTGCTGAAATACCTGGTCCGTCGAGATTTGGTCAGCACAGGACTCGTCAAGTTTGATGATCACCCCGAGAATTACAGAGTATGGAAAGCCACATTCAAAAGTATGGTGCAAACTCTGGAAGTTACGGCAAATGAAGAGTTAGATCTTCTCGTGAACTGGCTGGGCCGTGAGTCTTCGGTCTATGCAAAGAGGCTGCGTTCAGTACATGTCGACAACCCCGCGGCGGGGTTGGAGATAGTCTGGGAAAGACTGGAGGACTGCTACGGGCGACCCGAAGTAATAGAAGATGCGCTCTTCAAGAGGATCGGAAGCTTTCCTAAATTCTCCGACAAAGACACTCACAAACTACGGGAACTGGGAGATCTGCTTCTGGAACTGGAAGCCGCAAAAGCTGATCCCCACTTGACAGGACTCAGCTATTTGGATACGGCAAGAGGGGTGAACCCCATCGCGGAGAAGTTGCCACACCGTCTCCAAGAGATGTG